AAATTAAAGAAGAATTAAAAAAATTCATGGAAACCAATGAAAATGAAAACACAACTGTTCAAAATCTTTGGGATACAGCAAAGGCGGTCCTGAGAGGAAAGTATATAGCAATACAAGCCTTTCTCAAGAAACAAGAAAGGTCTCAAATACACAACCTAACCCTACACCTAAAGGAGCTGGAGAAAGAACAGCAAATAAAGCCTAAACCCAGCAGGAGAAGAGAAATCATAAAGATCAGAGCAGAAATCAATGAACTAGAAACCAAAAGAACAGTAGAACAGATCAACGAAACTAGGAGCTGGTTCTTTGAAAGAATTAACAAGATTGATAAACCCCTGGCCAGACTGATCAAAAAGAAAAGAGAAATGACCCAAATCAACAAAATCATGAATGAAAGAGGAGAGATCACAACCAACACCAAAGAAATACAAACAATTATAAGAACATATTATGAGCAACTCTATGCCAGCAAATTAGATAACCTGGAAGAAATGGGTGCATTCCTAGAGATGTATCAACTACCAAAATTGAACCAGGAAGAAATAGAAAACCTGAACAGACCTATAACCACTAAGGAAATTGAAACAGTCATCAAAAATCTCCCAAGAAACAAAAGCCCAGGGCCAGATGGCTTCCCAGGGGAATTCTATCAGACATTTCAAGAAGAATTAATACCTATTCTCCTGAAACTGTTCCAAAAAATAGAAATGGAAGGGAAACTTCCAAACTCATTTTATGAGGCCAGCATTACCTTGATCCCAAAACCAGACAAAGACCCCATCAAAAAAGAGAATTACAGACCAATATCCTTGATGAACATGGATGCAAAAATTCTCACCAAAATACTAGCCAATAGGATCCAACAGTACATTAAAAGGATTATTCACCATGACCAAGTGGGATTTATTCCTGGGCTGCAAGGCTGGTTCAACATCCGCAAATCAATCAACGTGATACAATACATTAACAAAAGAAAGAACAAGAATCATATGATCCTCTCAATAGATGCAGAAAAAGCATTTGACAAAGTACAACATCCTTTCTTGATCAAAACTCTTCAGAGTATAGGGATAGAGGGTACATACCTCAATATCATAAAAGCCATCTATGAAAAACCTACAGCGAGTATCATTCTCAATGGGGAAAGGCTGAGAGCCTTTCCCCTAAGGTCAGGAACGCGGCAGGGATGTCCACTCTCACCACTGCTATTCAACATAGTATTAGAAGTCCTAGCCACAGCAATCAGACAACAAAAAGAAATCAAAGGCATCCAAATTGGCAAAGAGGAAGTCAAACTCTCACTCTTTGCAGATGATATGATACTGTACGTGGAAAACCCAAAAGTCTCCACCCCAAAACTGCTAGAACTCATACAGGAATTCAGTCAAGTAGCAGGATATAAAATCAATGCACAGAAATCAGTGGCATTCCTATACACCAACAACAAGACAGAAGAGAGACAAATCAAGGAGTCTATCCCATTTACAATTGCACCCAAAACCATAAGATACCTAGGAATAAATTTAACCAAAGAGGCAAAGGATCTGTACTCAGAAAACTATAAAATACTCATGAAAGAAATTGAAGAAGACACAAAGAAATGGAAAAACGTTCCATGCTCATGGATTGGGAGAATCAACATTGTGAAGATGTCAATGCTACCTAGAGCAATCTACACATTCAATGCAATCCCCATCAAAATACCATCCACTTTTTTCAAAGAAATGGAACAAATAATCCTAAAATTTGTATGGAACCAGAAGAGACCCCGAATAGCCAGAGGAATACTGAAAAAGAAAAGCAAAGCTGGGGGCATCACAATTCCGGACTTCCAGCTCTATTACAAAGCTGTCATCATCAAGACAGTATGGTACTGGCACAAAAACAGACACATAGATCAATGGAACAGAATCGAGAGCCCAGAAATGGACCCTCAACTCTATGGTCAACTTATTTTTGACAAAGCAGGAAAGAATGTCCAATGGCAAAAAGACAGTCTCTTCAACAAATGGTGTTGGGAAAATTGGACAGCCACATGCAGAAGAATGAAACTGGACCATTTCCTTACACCACACACAAAAATAGACTCCAAATGGTTGAAAGACCTAAACGTGAGACAGGAGTCCATCAAAATCCTAAAGGAGAACACAGGTAGCAACCTTTTCGACCTTAGCCGCAGCAACTTCTTCCTAGAAACATCGCCAAAGGCACGGGAAGCCAGGGCAAAAATGAACTATTGGGATTTCATCAAGATAAAAAGCTTTTGCACAGCAAAAGAAACAGTCCACAAAACCAAAAGACAACCGACAGAATGGGAGAAAATATTTGCAAACGACATATCAGATAAAGGGCTAGTATCCAAAATCTATAAAGAACTTATCAAACTCAACACCCAAAGAACAAATAATCCAATCAAGAAATGGGCAGAAGACATGAACAGACATTTCTCCAAAGAAGACATCCAAATGGCCAACAGGCACATGAAAAAGTGCTCAACATCACTCGGCATCAGGGAAATCCAAATCAAAACCTCAATGAGATACCACCTCACACCCGTCAGAATGGCTAAAATTAACAAGTCAGGGAACGACAGATGTTGGCGGGGATGTGGAGAAAGGGGAACCCTCCTACACTGTTGGTGGGAATGCAAGCTGGTGCAACCCCTCTGGAAAACAGTATGGAGGTTCCTCAAACAGTTGAAATTAGAGCTACCGTTCGATCCAGCAATTGCACTACTGGGTATTTACCACAAAGATACAAATGTAGGGACCCGAAGGGGTACGTGTACCCCAATGTTTATAGCAGCAATGTCCATAATAGCCAAACTGTGGAAAGAGCCAAGATGCCCATCGACAGATGAATGGATAAAGAAGATGTGGTATATATACACAATGGAGTATTATGCAGCCATCAAAAGGAATGAGATCTTGCCATTTGCAACGACGTGGATGGAACTGGAGGGTGTTATGCTGAGTGAAATAAGTCAATCAGAGAAAGACATGTATCACATGACCTCACTGATATGAGGAATTCTTAATCTCAGGAAACAAACTGAGTGTTACTGGAGTGGTTGGGGGTGGGAGGGATGGGATGGCTGGGTGATAGACATTGGGGAGGGTATGTGCTACGGTGAGCGCTGTGAATTGTGTAAGACTGTTGAATCACAGATCTGTACTTCTGAAACAAATAACGCAACATATTTTAAGAAAAAAGGAAAAGAAGAAGATAACAGGAGAGGAAGAAAAGGGGAGTATGTCAGAGGGGGAGACGAACCATGAGAGATGATGGACTCTGAAAAACAAACTGAGGGTTCTAGAGGGTAGGGGGGTGGGGGGATGGGTTAGCCTGGTGATGGGTATTGAGGAGGGCACGTTTTGCATGGTGCACTGGGTGTTATGAACAAACAATGAATCATGGAACACTGCATCAAAAACTAATGATGTAATATATGGTGATTAACATAACAATAAAAAAAATTAAAAAAAAAAAAGGTGGCTGAAAATCCTTTTGCTTGGTCATAGATTTTGCTAATAGAAAAGTAACATTTGCAAAAGATAGAGTCCTGCAAAGTTTCAGACAACACAGGTTTTTTTTTAAAAAACCCTACAGTTTGAATAGTCAAGGCTATCTATTATCCATTGTTCAGTATTTCCTTTGCTTTGCTATTCTCTCTGAATTTCTGTTATCCCTAGACTCACTTTCAATAGACTGTTACAGGTCTTAATCTTCCATATTCTCATTTATTCAACAAAGTTTTTTTGTGACCCTACTACATGCCAAGCTTTATTCCAGGCTATGATGATGAGGTATTATTCTTGTTTAGGTTGTATTTACTATTAAACTTGCATCATGGGGTGTGGGGAAGGGAGGGAAGTTATTTCTAAACACAGGCCCAATATTTTAATAGAAAACAAAATGATTTCTGTAAGGTTGGCACTTATGCAAGTACAGAATGGGATGTTGAAAAAATATTGTACTCCATTACCTTGAAAAAATTTTTTTTGTTTTATTTAGACTTATTTATTTATTTTAGCAAGGGAGGGGGAGGGGCAGGGAGAAGGAGAGAGAATGCTGAAGGAGACTTCCCACTGAGGGTGGAGCCCATGGCACAGGGCTCAATCCCAGAACCCTGAGATCATGACCTGAGCCAAAATCAAGAGTTGGCCACTTAACCAACTGAGCCACCCAGGTGCCCTAAATTGAAAATTTTTTAAAGGGAGTTGTAATGTAAGACAGAAGGAAAAACTAAACGTTGGATTGGTGATTTCCTGAGATTTTACTGAAATTGGTGTCAGTAATGATTACTCAGGATTCGTCCTCCTGATGCATGAAGATTGGACATGATGAATTCTTCAATCATTTCCAGTAACACTTCCAAATCAATAACCATGATTTCAGGTTCCATTCCCAAACGTTTCAACTGTATGGTGACTAACATAACATAAAAAAGGATTATACATTAAAATATGTTGTTTCCCTTGAATTTTATTATCTATGCATTTTCAGAAAACATTTTTCTCTACACGAAACAGAAGTAGGGGAGCCAATGCGATATATTTCAATTCTTGATGGAAAACAAAGAGAGGGATGGGGGCACTGCAAATTTGCAAATTATTCAGAACAATTAGATTTAAGTTTCGGAGAAACTACACTTACCTTAGAATTCATGCCATCATGCAAAGACAGTGTCCCTAGTGGTTAAGAGTTCATGTCTCAGAGTCCTTCTGAACCCTGGTGAGTCTCCCTGGGAAAATGACTGAACCTCCTTCACGCTCAGTTCCCTCATCTATGCGACAGAAATCATGAACATGCCAACTGCAGAGACTTCCTGGGGGAAAATGCACAGACCTTTCGGGCAGTGCCTTAAACACGGAAGATGCTTCTGTCCAGTGGCTAGTTATCACCCCCTTTCCCATCAACAAGGAGGGCACTGTGCAAACCTCTCCAGCTCCCAACCAGACTCTAACTGTGGGCTCTAGGGAAACAGAGGTAGATGGAACATGCAGTATAAAACAATGGAGTCCCCCTTCTTGCACAGGCAGAGCACAAGGGAAAGAGTGAATGACAGCGCCTTCTCAAGGTTCCTTCTCCTAGGCTTCTCCAACAGGCCTCAGCTGGAGATGCCTCTCTTTATAGTCATCCTGATCGTCTACTTCTTGAGCTTTCTTGGCAATGGCATGATTATACTTCTGTCGCAGATGGACATTTGCCTGCACACCCCCATGTATTTCTTCCTCTCCAACCCCTCTTTCATGGATCTTTGTCTGACCACCTGCACCGTCCCTCAGACGCTGGCCAACCTCAAGGAGCGGGACAAGACCATCACCTATGGTGGCTGCGTGACCCAGCTCCTCATCGCCCTGGGGCTCGTGGTCATGGAGTGTGTGCTCCTGGCCATCATGGCCTATGACCGCTCCATTGCCGTGTGTTGCCCACTGCACTACCTCGCCATCATGCACCCGCATCTCTGCCTGCAGAGGGTGCTAACTGCTTGGCTCACAGGGTTTGGCAACTCGGTGCTACAGACGGCCCTGACCATGACTCTTCCCCTGTGTGGGAGAAACCAGGTGGACCATCTCTTCTGTGAAGTTCCCGTGATGCTGAAGCTGGCCTGTGCCAATACCTCCATCAACGAGCCTGAACTCTTCACGGTCAGTGTCTTCTTCCTCATGGTGCCCCTGTCGGTCATCTTAGTGTCCTATGGCCACATCACCCAGGCCGTTCTGAAGCTAAAGTTGGCCCAGGGGAGGTGGAAGGCCTTCGGAACCTATGGTTCCCACCTGATGGTGGTGGTCATCTTCTTTGGCACACTCATCTCCGTGTACCTCCAGCCTCCCTCCAGTTATTCGCAGGATATGAACAAAAGCAATGTGCTGTTCTACACTCTGGTGACTCCCCAGCTGAATCCCATCATTTACACTCTGGGGAACAAGGAGGTCAAGGGGCACTGAGGAGACTGCTGAGGGCAACTGCAGACTTGAGAGGGAACTAATGCAGGACTTGCAGACCTAAGCGCTGGTGCAGGGGAGGGACTTCTGGGTGACTTGAAGCCAGTTTTCACATAATTCAGCAGGTCCTCATAAAGCACCTGCTCTGTAGGAGGCAGTGTTCTAGGACTTCAGATATATCAACAATCAAAACAAACACCCCTGTCCCCATGGATCTAAATCTTCTAGTGGGGAGAATATGGGTTTTAAGACGATGTAAAAATAAACTATGGAATGTCATGTCTTGGAATATTTTACAATAATGAGAATACACAAATTGTAAGTACAAACGACAACATGAATGATTCTCACAAATACAATGTTGAGTGAAAGAACCAGATACAAAATGGTTAATACTGCTCAAATTTAATTATATTCAATGTACTCTTTATTCATGTAAAACTCAAAATGGCCCAAGGAATCTGTTGTATTGGAAGTCAGAATAATGGATTCTCAGGGGAGTCGTGATTGAAAGGAGAAATGGGGGAGGAGAATACTGGGATTCTGCTTATATTCTAATTCTGGATCTGGATGCTATTTATAGAAGGTACACAATGTGTGAAAATTCATCAAACTTGACACTGATGCTAATTCCACTCTCTGTATGCCTGTTGTACATCAAATCATTTACTTTTAAAACGTTTGAAATAAGCTAGATATTAACAGATACCATGATACTAAACACTCACATTAAGATTTGCGTTCCTTTCACACTCGATCTGGCTTTATATTCCAAATGATCTATGTGACTTCTTTCCAATGTACTGAACTAGTAGAATCTAAACTGTTTTTTATATCCATGATATTTAGCCAATGAATGCACTTTACCCGGCTTTCCTTTGAAGGCCTCAATCAAAGATCATTTGTACAGTGAGTTCTGGTCTCGTCTTCCTTCCAGGTTGATTCACTATTGTTTTTCTGGTCTCTATTTCATATATTTCCATTCTGATCTTTGTTCTTTCCTTCCTTCTGCTAACTTTGAGATTTGCTTTTTACTAGTTCTTAAAGGAGTAAAGTTAGGTTATTTATTTGTTTGTTTTAAAGAAGTTAACTGTATTCTTTTTTATTATTAATTTGTTGGCTTCAAAATGAGCCAACTATAGAAAATCCAATAGACTGTATTGCATTCTAGAACCTACCTAGAGCCCATCAAAGTTCTCTCTTGTCTAATTTTTTTATAAACACTAGCTGATAATCTGCATTTCACACTAGTGAAAGGGTCTGAACTCGTTGACAGTTGTCAGATTTATTTGAAAATTATTTTCCTGATGTAGGCTTTTATTGTGGTCAACTTTCCCCTTAGATTGATTTTGCAGCATCCCATAAATTTTTCAAGATATTTCTTGATTTCCCTTTGATGTCTCCTTTGACCCATTGTTTTTGGGGTAAGGGGGTGTTATTTAATTTTTCCTATTTGGAAATGTTTCAGCTTTCCTTTTGTTATGATTTTTAGTCTCATACCACTGTGATCAAATAAAGATATTTGCATGAGTTCAATCTTCTTAAATTTGCTAAGACTTGTTTTGTAAATTGTCTTGTGATCTCTCCTGGACAATGTTCCTGGTGTGCTTGACAAGAATGTGTATTCTCCTGCTGTTGGATGAAATGGTCCATATATCTCTGTTAAATTTAGTCTAAAGTATGGCTCAAATCCAATATTTTTGTGTTGATTTTCTGTTGGAATGATTTATCCATTGTTAATATTAGAACATTGAAGTCCCTATGATTATTATGTTGTCTATTTCTTTTTTTTTAAGATTTTATTTATTTATTTGACAGAGAGAGACACAGCAAGAGAGGGAATACAAACAAGGGGAGTGGGAGAGGGAGAAGCAGGCTTCCTGCCCAGCGGGGAGCCCCATGCGGGGCTTGTCCTGGGATCGTGACCTGAACCGAAGGCAGACGCTTAACGACTGAGCCACCCACACACCCCATGTTGTCTATTTCTCCCTTCATAACTGTTAGCATTTGTTTAATATATTTAGATGATCCTATGTTGGGTCCCATATATTTACCATTGTTATATCTTCTTGATGAATTGACCCTTTTGTATAATGAAGTTTTTTGTCTCTTGTTACCATTTTTGGTTTAAAGTATATTTTGTCTAATATAAATGTAACTACCCCTTCACTCTCGAATATTTAAAAAAACAACTAGCACCAATCCTTCTCAAACTCTTTAAGAAAATGAAAAGTAAGGACACTTCCAAACTCATTTTACAAGATTAGCATTATCCTAACACCAAACATAGATAAATACTACAAAGGAAAAAAAAAAAAGAATGAAACCTATAGACCTATATCCCTGATGAATATAGATGCAAAATTTCTCAACAATATATCAGCAAAGCAAATTCAATAGCACATTAAAAGGTTCATACACCATGATCAAGAAGGATTTACAGCAGGGCTACAGGATGAACCAACTACACAAATCAATAAATGTGATACACCACATTAATAGAATGAAAAATAAAAACCATATGATTATCTCAATAGATGCAGAAAAACATTTAACAAAATACAACATCTTTTCATGATATATATACTCAACAAAACAGATGTAGAAGGAATATACCTCAACATAATAAAGGCCATATATATCAAACCCATGTCTAACATACTCAGTGGCAAAAGGTGGAATGTTTTTCCTCTAAGATCAGATACAAAACAAGGATGTCCCCCTTTATTACTCATATAAAACACAGTATTGGCAGTTGTAGCCTGAGCAATAAGGCAAGCAATAAAATAAAAGGCATCTAGTCAAAATACAAGAAGTAAAATCATTTTGCCTAGAAATTATATATATGATCTCATATATAGAAAATCCTAGACACCACCAAAAAACTGTTAGAACTTATCAACAAGTTTAGTAAAGTTGCAGAACAGAAACTCAATGTACAGAAATGAGTTGCCTTTCTATACAATAACAGCAAAATATATGAAAAGATTTGTTTAATCCCACTCACAATAGCATCAAAAACAAAAATTGAATGAGTAGCCAAAACACCTGTACACTTAAAACTATAAGAATTTCGTGAAAGAAATTAAAGAATTAAGATATCTTGTATTCATGAATTGAAAGAATTAATACTGCTAAAATGTCTATAATACTCAAAACCATGATAGATTCAATGCAATCCCTATCAAAATTCAAGTGGCATTTTTGACAGATATAGAAAAAGCAATTCTAAAATCTGTATGGAGCCACAAAAGTCCCCAATTTTTGTAGGGGGACAAAAATTTTGTTAGGGAGAGCCACTCTGACAAAGAAGAACAAAGCAGGAGGCATCCCACTCCCTGACTCAAACTATATTATAAAGCTCTAATAATCAAAACAGTATGGCCCTGGGTGAAGAAATAGATACATACACCAAAGGAACAGAATGAACAGCCCAGAAATAAACCCACCCATGTACACACAACTAATATTTGATAAAGGAGTCAGGAATATTCATGGAGAAACATAGTCTGTGAAAACTAGGTAAATACATACAGAGAAATGAAATTAGAGCTCTATATTACAACACTCACAAAAATTAACTTGAAAAGGATTAAAATGTAAACATAAGACCTGAAATTGTAAAACTCCTAGAAGACAACATAGAGGCAAAGATTTATGACATTGGACAAGTTGACAGTTACCAAATGAGAATGTTTTAGCATTATCCCACCTACAAACTGACCTCACTCTTTGTGATTCAAATTTCAATCCAGAGATGGAAAGAATGGCACTTCTGTATTTTTTAACTTATGTGTATCTCTATGACAGCAAAAGCAGTATCATTTGTCCCCGTGGCATGCCCCTCAATTTATTTAGTTCTTCTTTGAGTTCTTTCATTAGTGTTTGTAGTTTTCAGCATATAAGTTCTATACATGTTTAATAGGCGTATATGTAAATATTTCATTTATTTTGAGTGGTTGTAAATGGCATTTTAAAAACACTGGGTGTTATACGTAAGTGATGAATCACTAAACTCTACTTCTGAAACTAATATTATATTTTATGTTAACCAACTGGAATTTAAATAAAAACTTGAAACTACAAAACAAATTTAAAAATTAAGAAAAAAGAGATTAAGAAGGGCATTATATCATAATTAAGGTACCTATCCATCAAGAAGATCTAACAATTGTAAATATTTATGTTCCCACCTTGGGAGCACCAAATTATGTAAATCAATTAATAATAAACATAAAGAAGCTCATTGATAATAATACAACAATAGTAGCAGGCTTTAACACCCCACTTACAGCAATGGACAGATCGTCTAAGCAGAAGATAAACAAGGAAACAAGGGCTTTGAATGACACACTGGACCAGATGGACTTAACAGATATGTTCAGAACATTTCATCCTAAAGCAGTAGAATACACATTATTTTTGAGTTCACAGCGAACATTCTCCAGAATAGATAACATACTGGGTCACAAATCAGCCCTCAACAAGTACAAAAAGATTGAGATCATACCATGCATGTTTTCAGACTACAACACTATGGAACTTGAAGTCAACCACAAGAAAAAATTTGGAAAGGCCACAAATACATGGAAGTTAAAGAATATCCACTACAAAATGAATGCATTAATGAGGGAATTAAAGAAGAAATTAAAAATACATGGAAGCAAATGAAAATGAAAACATGATGGTTCAAAACCTCTGGGATGCCTCAAAGGCAGTCCTAAGAGGGAAGTATATAGCAATACAGGCCTTCCTCAAGAAACATGAAAAGTCTCAAATACACAACCTAAACTCACACAGAAAGGAGCTGGAAAAATTTGCTTTAGGCAAATAAAGCCTAAATCCAGCAGGAGAAGGCAAATAATAAAGATAAGAGCAGAAATAAAAGATGTAGAAACAGAAAGAAAACAGTAGAATGAATCAATGACACTAAGAGCTGGTTCTTTTTTTTTTTTTTTTAGAACTTTTTAAAATTTAAATTCAATTAACATATTAGTTTCAGA